AATTAGTGACCAGCATGTAAAACTTTAGTAGGCCTCTTTTCAAGAAAATTCGTGAATTAGTTCTGACGAATGCGAGAATTTGAAATATTAAAAGAAAGAATGTCGCATAATAGTGATTGATGACACAATCATACACACGGCAGCAGTATGCAACAATTCTCAATCGAAAATGAATTTTAGATCTCGCTGTTACCATCCGTTGGAATATTCACCATGCTGGTCACGAATTCATATCAACTTTTTTCGATAGGACGTTACTTTAGGTTACGATAAAAACACGGTCGGAAGCAAACGGTTGTATTTGAAAGGTGGTACCGTGGTTTGTTATGCTGAACCGAATAAACTCCTATACTAGATGGTTTCCCTTTATTGCGAAGATACGGTAGGTGTAAGGTGTTAAGTCAGACCATGATTCGTACAAAAAAGCCCAGAAGAGGTTCGTTGTTTAGCAAAATTGTACCAGCAACACCTAATTCTCAAGTATTTGCAACTCTGATGAAACGCTGCCATATAGCTTAGCGAGAAATCCACCAAAAGGATAACCGATAGGTAAGGAAATATGCCGCAATTTTCTCATCTGTAGCCCAAAGATAGAAGTGAAGAATTTCAAGATGGTGTGATGAATTCGCAATGTGAAGTGGTGTTCAGCGATGTCTCTACAGCAGAATGCCACCGTGATGAATAATATTCTTCGTAATAGCGTATGATCAGTGGGGTGAGATTTGGAGTCAGAGTCCGCGGCATTGACCACTCACCGTATGTAAAGCGCTTTCGTGAGAAATACAAATTATTATAAGCAGCATATCAAATATCCCCACTACGTGGAATTTTAGACGGATTCGCAATGTTGACTTCCCACTTGTACTAACCGTACATCTTAAATGTTAATAGTGACATAATATAAGATTTGTCTCGACGAGCTGAGTCTAGCCCCTCTTTTCCATTTGAAGATCATTCTCAAGAAGTTTTTTTTTTTTTTAAATTTAAAGTCAAGTTCTTTCGCAGAAGCTATGGGCGGTAATGTGCTTAAGCGAAAGCGAGCTATGAAGAAAAGACTAACCTTGGCTACACTCAACGGGATCACCTCTGCTTGCTCCAGTTCCTTTTTTAGCCACGTATTCACTTCTTCGCTGTCTTCTGTTGATGATTGAACTGAGCCAGTTGGCGGAGCGATAGAATGCGCAGCGGAATATGATGGTCTGTAATACCATTTTCGATTTCTCATCTCACTATATCTATCTTTGCAAAGAAATATTACAAGTAGCCTTTTTATTACAGTAAATTACTCCCTCACTTTGTATTTGAAATTTTTGTTAAGCATCAGACTCATTTTTAACGGGGCACATTCCATTATCTTTCAAAGTGATAGCGGATTGAAGTGAATGCGTTATTCTCCAAAATATCGTTACAAAACACATGACCCGTCGTGTGCATGCAAGGTACATAATAATTTTATCCACATCCCAACTACAGCTCCACTGGTAAACAATTGTACGTGCAACAATCAAATTCGACACTAACAAGTTGTGAGCATAATATCAAAATATCTTCATGTTCTTATAATGAAGCATGCCTACCCCTCATATGTGTCCACAACGACGTAGGCGCAGTATCCAGACAAAGCAATGTTCGACAAGTGGATTTTCCGCTTAGACTCACTGCTATCCAGTCTTAATAAATTGCTTCAAATATGAATAGTAAAGCAAAAATAAGGCAGACCTAAGTATAAGCGAGGGCAGAGGTACTACATCTGGATTGCATTGTTCAACTTCTCGATACGTCTTTTTGGTACCCCGCCGCGATGAAGTCGAATTCATTGAGTTATCACTGAAGTACATACAATAGAACCGAAACATCTTGTATATCTATAACGCACCATTTGAGCATGGGTCCCTCCTCTGCGAGTGCACTGCGCTGTCCGTTCTTGGACCCCCAGAAATAGAGCTCGTTCTCTGTTGTACCAACAAGCGTGAATCCATCGCCACAAGCGAGCTTCTGAGAATATGTGAAAATAGTTGGAAAATGGTTCACATGCATTGGTTTCTAGCAGACAGGGTATTTTCTTTGTTATATGTTTAGGTGCTCTCTGGCTTGGATCAGCTGTATGCTAGGAGCCCTTTGATAGTAGTTACACTCTCCCTACTTTTACTAGCACCTATTGCAAAAACCAACCCTATAACGTACTCGAAAAAGTTCAAAAACTGCCCCGCTTTTACGCCTTTCTTCAAACCTTTATTTTTCTCTAATATCTAACAATAACATACGCAAATCATCATTATTAATAACACGCAGCCAGCTTTACCATGTTTGTGGAAACGCCTGTATGGAAATCTTCTACTCTTTCTACTTTTTTGCAAATTTTTGTATTTTTTAAATATTTTTTAGACTAGCGAAAATAAACTTTTACCGTATAACGGGAGGCCATGGGGACTCGATTTACAGCTGTTTTTGCATTTGCGCTTGCGTTGCCATGATTTCTAATCTTTAAGAAAGCGGAATGTTTCGAGTTGGCAAGTTTTTTCAGCCATAATGGTAAAGGAATGCTAAGATAAATTCGAGATAGACTATTGGTCAACTATTATATGCTCGTATTTATCAATAAGACTATTGGTCAACTATTATATGCTCGTATTTATCAATACAGCAAAAGATTTTTTCAAAATTATTGGCAATCATAGGGAAGAAGTAGCTAATCCGCTGCTCTTTACATTTTGCCATCTCCTGATTAGAATCAGTATCCCATGTTATGAGCAATACGTTTGTGAAAGATACTAACACTCAGCAAACGCTAAAGTACATGAGAATTGCTTGGTTTGCTTTTATTGAAGATACTAAACTAGCATTATCGTGATTTCTCTGTCCGTA